TGGTTCAAGTTCTCTGGTCTTCCAATAGAGGTGCTCGACGGATCTAAGCTCTTCAGTGAGTATACGGACTCCTCTCTACACACACACACAAGGATTCCAGGGCAACATTGCAGTCATTGGGGATTTACATGCCTGCAACGAAAAGGCAGTTTAGTAGAACCCAAACTGCTCAAAGTTACAGGCCATTCCAGTACCATCATCACTTCTTCTCTAAGCTCCATGAATTATTCAAGAGAAGAGCCAAACAGGAAAAAAGGGGATCAACCACCCCTACTTCTACTCAATCGGCCCCTCCTTCTAAGGGCTTGTCTTCACTACTGCACTAAATTGGTGCCGCTGCCATCAATGCCCTTGTGTCTGTTTTCAGTTCCTCCCTAGAACATCTGGTTTGGTGATGGCCTTCACACTTATCTTTTAACACACACATTTCTCATTCACACACAAAACACAACTGATTGACACAAAACATTTGAACAGGAACATCAAGTTGCAATGCAAAAGAAAAACAAACATTGCATTCTTTTACTTATTTTAAAATGCTAAACCTACAACAAAGTGGTGATCCTAAAAGGTCTGTTATTGCCTTGAAATCAGCCCAGACACAGATTCTGGCTGATGCATCTCTACCAATAGCACATTAGACCATTCCTTTCTGCTATTCAAAATGGGTGGCTAGCAGGATATGGTCAAATCATACATTAATACATGCTATATTATTATCTTATTATTCTTTATCCTTCATTCTAAATTATACAAAATACAAACATAAAATCCTACTACTACACATCCACCTATAAGAGAAGAGATTGAAACAGAGATATTTTCTACTTCACTGTCCAACATACCAGAGTGAGAGACAGACTTGTTCAAATTACCAGAAAAGATTTTCTATCAAAAAGCAAGGAAGAAAAACCGTTCATCGCCTTGGGGGGAAAAATGGAAAAAGAGAACAGTGAGTCATTCTATATAGGAACCTGTCACCAAATTTGAAATATACAAAGGAACAAATAAATGATCCAGCACACTGTGAATCCATCTCCTGAGCAGGTGCTTGATGTAATAATTATATACCCAATTTATTGGGGGGCAGGGAATCATGTTTGTCATAGCTTGCACTGGGAGAATATGGTTCTTTGTTTTTTTCTAATGCCTGGTCATCAAATGAGCTTAATGAATCTGCCACAGCTGCTAGCTGCAGGAGTTAGGCACTCATCCTGCAGCTACTTAGGTTCAGAAATAACTATATATATGAATTAGAAGCCAGTTTATTGGACTGGGACTCAGGAGACTTGGATTCTAGTCCTGGCTCTGCTGGACTGCTAGGTGACCTTGGGTAAGTCACTTTACCTCTCTCTGTCTGTTTCCCTATTTGTAAACTCTGGGTAATGATACCTATCTCTTTTGTAATGTGTTTTGTGATCTATTGATGAAAAGCACAATGTAAGAGATGGGCACTATTATTTAATGTTTGCCAGTCCCATTGACTTCTAGGTAGAACTATGTTTGCATATAAATGTAAGTGCATAAGCGTTTACTGGAGCAGGCCCTTCATTCAAAGGGTAGCAGCATGTGCTTTAAAATTCCACAGTCAGCCCAAGTGGGGTGGTTTATCCTAATATGCCCTTATATAACCAATACAGGGACAGTCTCCAGCTTGCTTTCTCTCTCCATATGTTGTGTTTCCTCATTTGTCCTCCCCTCTGCTTGTATGGCTTTAGTGTGTTCAGCTCCTTGGAGCAAGGGTCATTCCTTCTTTTCTGTTTCGGTAGCACCTAATACTTATTTGTATTGTAGTGCCTCGGAGTCCCAGTCATGGATTAGGACCCCACTTGGCTAGGCGCTGTACAAACACAGCACAAAAAGATGGTCCCTGCCCCAAAGAACTTACAATCTAAGTATAAGGCAAGAGACAACAGATGGATACAGACAGAGAAGTACAAGGAAACATTGAGACAACATTGATCAGTACAATGGGCAGTGGTCACAGCACACCAGCAGCCTAACCATTGTCAAGTTTTTTATAGGCATCACAGTGAAGGAGAGGTTTTTAGGTGAAATTTGAAGGAGAACAATGAAGTGGCTTGGCAAATGTTTGCAAGATGTACCTCCCAAAAGTGAGAGGCAGCATAGGAGAAAGCATGAAGGTGCTTGTCTGAAAACTTAACAAGTGGACAAGCTGATATGATGGGCCAAGTGAAGGTGGGAGTTGACTTTTGTTTACTGAATGAGAGGTGGGCTTTGAAAGTGTAGCTTACATATTTGATATGACAGATGAGGGAGCCAGTGGAGGGATGCAAAGAGGGGAAACATGGTCAAAGTGATGGGCTTGGAAAATGATTTTTGCAGCAGCATGCAAATGTATGTGAATGGGATAAGACTGCATTTGTCAAAGCCAGAGAAAAAGATGTAGTAACAGATGTGAGATGATGAGAACCTGGATGAGAGTTTCTGGTGTGGGTGGATAGGAAAGGCCATATCCTAGAGATGTTATAGAGCAGGGGTCTCAAATTCAATTTACCTTAGGGCCAGTGCCAGTCCTCAAAGCCTCCCAGCGGGCCAATAATGACACTGAAGGTGGTGTTCAGAAAAGAAAACATTTATATTGTATTTTTTTTTTAAATTTCTTAGAAATAATAAAACTGTCATACAACTTTATACAATTCTTCGCCTGCCAGAGCCAGATACCTGGCAACGCTTCAGTTCTGTCAGTTTGCTGATGCTTGGCCTCAGTAACTGCTGCAATCCTGAACGTTTCAACTGCTCAAGGTGTGCATCAGATAGTTGTGTTGGGTATTTTGACTTGTTTATATTCATTGTGGAAAAAAGTGATGCTGCCTCCATGGCTGACTCTGCCCGGCAACTAATGATGCTGCCTCCATGGCTGACTCTGCCTAGCGACTAGTGATGATATCTCTGTCCTTCTCCCCTGGCCAATGGGAGCTGTGGGGGGCAGCACCTGCAGCAGACATTGCCGGCAGCGTGTCTGCCTACATCTCTCCTCCGCCAGCCGCAATGGGGAGGTTCTCAGGCTGCAGATGGCCTGCGGGCCAGGACTTTGAGACCCCTGTTATAGAGAAAGAATCTGCAGAACTTTGCTATAGCCTGGTTGTGAGAACCTAGAGAGAGGTCTGAGTCCAAGATGATACCCAGGTTATTGACTTAAGTGACAGCCAAGATACTACAGTGATCAAGCTTGGGTTGGGGAGTGGATTAAAGAGTTCTGTTTTAGCTTTGTAAAGCTTGAGCTGAGGGGTAGATGTCAGGAGGAAGGTATCAAACAGCCTGGCTGAGATTTGTTTGGATGGAGCCAGGTTGGAGTAGAGATCTGATTCACCCACCTAGAGATGGTAGTTGAATTTGTGTTTGTGGATGAGATTACCCACAGGTAAGGTAGGGGTGGGGAGGATCAGGAGGACCAAGGACAGAGCCCTGTAGATCCTCCCTGAAAGTGGAGGGGAATAATGAGGATTTCCCTTAAGGAGTGAGTAGAGAGGTAGAAGACTGAGGAGAAGAGGGAGTCACAGAGGGATATGGGGCTGGACTCTGCACAGGGAAGGATCTTGAATTACCCTGGGTACTTGTGGGGGTTATGGAAGCTCCTCCTGCATGGCATAGGCCTACTGGCAAGAGCAGAGGGCTGCCCTGGATTGCAGCCGTGCTCCTGTACAAGCTGCAAGGAAAGTTACCAATGACTCATGTCAGGGTTCCCTCCCCACTCTCAACGCTGGGGTACAGATGTGAGGACAAACATGAAAACCCCCCTAATCTGATATTCTACCAGTTTAGGTTAAAAACTTCCCCAAGGCACAAATTCCTTTCCTTGTCCTTGGACGGTATTGCTGCCACCACCAAGTGATTTACACAAAAATTCAGGAAAGGGTCACTTGGAGTCCGTATTCCCCCAAAATATCCCCCCCTAAGTCCCTTTACCCCCTTTGCCAGCTTGAGAATAATATACCAACTAATTGGTTAACAATGAGAGCACAGACCAAACCCTTTATCTTTAGGACACTAAAATCAATTAGGTTCTTAAAAGAAGAGCTTTATTATAAAGAAAAAAGTAAAAGAATCACACTTGCAAAATCAGGAAGGAAGGTAACTTTACAGGGTAATAAAATGATTTAAAACACAGAGGACTCCCCTCTGGATTTAGCTTCACAGTTACAAAAAACAGGAATAAAACTACCTCTTATCATAGGGAAAATTCACAAGCTAAAACAAAAGATAATCTCACGCACTTCCTTGCCCGTACTTACAATTTTTGTAATGTTAGCTGCATCATTTCAGGTATGTTTTCAGGAGATGTTTTACCTGCCTCGTGTCTCTCTCCCTCGGCAGAGGGAACAACAGAGGCCTGGTCTACACTACGACTTTAATTCGGATTTAGCTTTGTTAATCCGAATTAACCCTTCACCCGTCCACACTACAGAGCCAGTTAATTCGAATTAAAGGGCACTTAAAATCGATTTCTGTACTCCACCTCGACAAGCGGAGTAGCGCCAAAATCGATTTTGTTAATTCGAATTAGGGTTAGTGTGGCCGCACACCACCGAATTAATGTGGTTAAATTAATGGGGTAGTGTGGCCGCACACCACCGAATTAATGTGGTTAAAAACCGAATTAATGTGCTTAGTGTGGCCGCGCACAATCGAATTTATACAACCTGTTTCCCAAATTCGAATTATCTAAATTCGGATTAATCCCGTAGTGTAGACATACCCAAAGAGAGCCACAAACAACCCCCCCCCCCATTTGAAAGTATCTTCTTTCCTTACTGGCCCTTCTGGTCAGGTGCCAACTAGGTTATTTGAGCTTCTTAACCCCTTACAGATAAAGTGATTTAGAAAAGCTTCCCAGGAGGGATTGTGTGTTACCCGGATCTGTATGTTTATGACACCTCACTATGTAAAACTCATGTTACTGGGGGAAATGCCGCTCAGCACAGGTCAGGGCGGGCACAGTGGGCGGGGCGGAGATTTCGGCGCTGGGGCCCGCCAGGCCCCGCCTCTGGTTTCCCCGAAGCGCGGGGAGGGGAATTCCGGGAGGCGGCGGGACCCGGGCGCTGCCTGATTCGCGCTTTTCCCCCGGCGGCGGAGCGACGTTCCTGCCCCTTGGTGGCCCTCGGGCGCCGCAGCCCGGCCTTTGGGGTTCGTTTGGCCGCAGCTCGGGCTCCCGGAGCCTGCCCCGCCCGCCATGGACAACGGCGGCGTGTACAGCCCGACCACCGAGCCGCAGAGCAAGCCCCGTACCTGCGGGTGCACCTTCGGCCGGCTCAGCCGGCAGCGCCTGCTGCTCAAAGCGGCGCAAGTGGTGAGTGAGCCCCGGCCTGGGCCTCGCGGGTCTGCCCGGGGCGCGGGGACGCCGTGTGCACTGGGGCGCCTGGCAGAGAGGAGCGGTCCCGGCTCCGGGCGGCGAGAAACTCGCTGTGTCGCAGCCTTGCCGGGGTGGTCCCGGGCGGCTCGAGCCTCCCGCGGGTGCGAGGTGTGGCCCTGTTTATCGCTCACGCCAGGCAGGGCCGGTGTGCGGCGGAGCGCAGCGCTGTGACTTGTCCGCCCTGCCTGGCTCCCCGGCGCGGGGGTTGCTCGGGTCTGTTTGTTTCTCTAGTGAAACCAGACAGCAGCTCCGCAGGCTCCGGGGAAATGTCGGGGGCCTGGAGAAAAGCTTGGCGCTGCCCCAGCGCAGGGGGCTGGACGGGTCCTTCGCGGCCCTGCATGTCTGGGGTTCCTCTCTACCCTTGCTGCTGTCCCTACATTTACCTGGGACCCTGTCCTGCGCTGTGGCATGGCTGGTTTTGGAGTAGAGGGTGGTGTGCTGTGTGCAGTAGGGTTGACGCTTCTGTTGACTTGACTATACAGTGCAGGGTCACAAAGCAAATAAGGGGTTAAGAAACGTTAATTAATGAACCAAGATGGGTGAGGGTAATCTCTTTTATTAGGTCAGCTTCTGCTGGTGAGAGAGCAGCTTTCGATCTTACACTGAGCTCTTCTTGGGGTCTCTGAAGTGAAAAGAGGAGCGCTGTGTAAGCTGGTCTCTCACCAGCTGAAATTGGGCCAATAAAATATATCCCCTCACCCACCTTCTCTCTCTAATATCCTGAGACCAGGAGGCTACACCAACACTACATACAACCTTAATTAATGTTTCTTAACCTGTTGTCTTGCACAGTCACTTTCCCCTGCCCCATTTACAGTCTTCCTTCCTTCTTTCCACACCACTCCCCTGTTCTTTGTTATTCCTGCCTTGACACCATTTCCGACATGAATGTTCAACTAGACTAGTAGATTTTCAAAAAATCATTTGTTTCAAGTCCACCAAAAAGAAAACTTTGTTTTTATGGTGGCTTTTATTTGTCTGTCGATACAAATCTACTTCATGTTAGAGGCATAGAAACCCTGGCTATTTTGTTAAGTTTATAGTTCTCTGTTATAAACTAAGCTGTCTAAATAAAAAGAGGACAAAACTGAGTACAACACAAAATGAATGTTTCCAGCTGTCCCTTCTTTGTGTTGCATGTGTTTTATTTGGCAATTAATATCGTTGCTATAAGTATGAAGTTGTAAATGTAGTTGTTACTGTCTACATTTAATGTTTGTTTTCTTTTTCATTAGTGAGTTTTCTGTCTGCTGTCTTTTACTGCCTCTTGATTTCCATTTTGTAGGCTGTATCTATCATTGCACAAAATATAAGGTGGTATATAAAAATGACCAATAAGATGTTAAGACAAAACCTTACTCTAATAAAAACAAATCTTAAAAATAATTTCCTAGACTCCTAACCAAAATAGAAGTTAGTACAGATACTTCTTTTAAGTGTAGACACACATTCACCATTTACTTCAGTCAGAGAAAATTTAGCTTGATCTAAAAAGTCTTAACTGAATTTAAAAAGTGAAAAAATTAGTCTAAATCAAATGGTAAATATATAACTCCTGGTAATATTAAATAGTACATTTTCAACTTTTAAATGCCAGTATATTGGTGAACTGGCATTGTAATTGTAATATTGTTTCTACAGACTCAGACTATTATTGCTATGGAGGCATCTTCACAGTAACAGTATGGCACATCTATTTGGACACTACAATCACAGACACTAACTGTTTAGAAGTTTGTGCTAGATTTTGCAAGTGATTTCAATTCGTTTTGTAGGTTCAAATAATAAGCAGGATCGAGAGCATGCAGTCCACTGTAGCACTGCTATTTCTGGTCTTAGAATTTTTAACTTAAAATTAAACCGGTCTGGACTCATGTGAAGGCCTTAATGTTCTGTACCAGAGGCTACATTCCATTACTATAAGTGGTAGAAAATCTTGGTTGAACCTCATTATATTGTGGTGAGCTGTTGGAGTGTTATAGTGGTTCACTCCAAATCAAAAGAATCCTAAGACTTCAAAGGAAGACATCCCTATTCTGATGGCTTTTTATGTGTATTTTGTGTAATCTTTTGATCCTTATTCATAAATGTTGGAGGTCATAAATGATCTTTCTCAAATTTCTAGTTAATATATACAAAAATGAAAATAGCACAGCATGGTTTGGATTTAGGGAAGATAGTGAAACCTAAATGGGAAAGGGACTCAACCATAAAATGTCAGTATCAGTTTTCCTGAAAGCTGAGTGGGTTTTAGTTCTGAAATGTCATAATCACAACAGCATCAGGTGATTTCTGCCCTTAGTCATTAATCAGGCACTGCCAAAAAGAGGACCATAACATTTTAAAACATAGGACAGTCATTTAAAAAAAGAAAATGCCAAGTCATGGTAAGGGAACACACACAACTTCAGAAAGTTATGGTTTACATTTATTTTTAAACAATTCTCAAAGCCTAAAGTGCTTTATATAAATATTTTTGAGGGTAAATTTTCTTTGATTTGTTTTATTTTTTAATTATAAAACATTTTATTGTTTGAGCCTGCTGGGTATTGCTGCCATGCAAACACCTTTGCCCATATAAAAAATCCCCGTAATTTATATAGACTACTCATGTGCCTTCATAAAGACAATTACAGGTGCATCCCTCTTTGGCTTTTCTGGTTATGGGGGAGAGAGAAGCTACTAGAGCCATTCATAAACAAAGAGAAGAAGAGACTGCTGGACCCACATGGGCACAAACTTGATATGTTCTTAAAGCTTTGGCAGTTTATGGCCGTATTCCATCACTGTAGGGACACCAGAAGGGTAGGTAACCAAAGCCAGATTTGTTTAGCTCATCAGAGAGATACTTTTTCTTTTATCTTTAGAGCCCTGCAAATCTGTGGATATCCACACATGCGGATATCTGCAGACCATGTTTGTGGATCGGATGTGGATACACATTTTTTATCTGCACAGGGCTCTACCTTGCTTCCTTCTCTCCCAAAATGCACAAGTCTTTGAGTTCTTGGTCCAGACACAAATTCAGAAATAAAGCTTGTACATTACTGTGGGTGAAATTCAGTTAGCTTTCTATGAGTGACATGCCCTTGTCGAAGGAAAGCACATAAATGCTGCGTTTTACTTAAAAAATTATTTGTGAAATAGTTTTATTTGTTTTGGAAACCCTGGTAAATATGTTAGTGTAATCTCTGCAATCTGTTGTGTAGTAATGTGATCTAATGGATAATGTTTTCACCCCTCAGTTCATAGAGAGCCAAGTTGGAGTTGGGAGAAGTGAGTTCTAATCCTGGCTTTACCATTGACCTACTATGTGGCATTGGGCAGGTCATATTACCCCTCTGTCTTATTCCCCTCCCATTCTTTTGTCTATTCAGCTCTTCGGGGTAGCAACTGTCTCTTACTATATATATATATATTTTTTTTTATAGTAAATAGTACGTTGGGTTGCTAGAGACTACTGTCGTACAGATCATATGCAAAACAGTGATTAAAACTGCAGTACTGCAATCTTAAAATTGCAGACTAACTACCGCTTGTCTAGGGTGCTTTTTAAATAGGATGTTGCATACAGCAAATCATCTGATTCCATTTTATGTATGGTACAATATTCCCTAAAATACTGTAACGCCAACTGCAGAAAACTACTTTCCAGTTTTTAAGATCGTAGCATGATATTCAGGATAGAGGGAACACTTTACAGTACTTTAGAATCATAGAATAGCAGGGTTGGAAGGGACCTCAAGAGGTCATCTAGTCCAACCCCCTGCTCAAAGCAGGACCAATCCCCAGACAGATTTTTGCCCCAGATCCCTAAATGGCCCCCTCCAGGATTGAACTCCCAATGCTGGGTTTAGCAGGCCAATGCTCAAACCACTGAGCTATATTATAGTTGTTAGCAATATGCTATTATTTATCTCTGATTGCTGCTGCTGAAGCCTCTTTTTGAAACCACTTTTATGTATCACATAAAAATGTACCTGCCAAAGAGATATTAAGATCTTTGAGTTTTGCATGGAGTTTTTTTAATTTTGGTTAATACAAAAGGAATGTAGTTTCAATCCAAAACTGGTTCAAATTCTGTAGAAAGTTGGATAGGAGAAAGCACATTGTGCCAAGACTTAGGGTTCTAAATTAATATCTAAAGCAGTAATACTTGTCATTTAAGTGGCGGAATTAAAAAGAGTATTGCATGCAGAAACCTCGGTATACAACGCTAGACTGAAAAGGAAAGTTCTAATTTAAGCTTAAAGATCTGCTCTTGCTTCTGAACTATTCATTCACTGCACCAACCCTGCTTTTAAAGACTTGTGAAATCAGCAGACTCCTTTGAATAGCAACCCTTGTATGCAATTTTAAACCAGAAGATTTCACTGGGGAAATGCCACAATTGAGGCTCTAGACAACAGTGGTTAAACAGTTACAATTTCATAGGCAAGTATTTCACTTTGTTTAACTTTCCTTTGTTTTCACAACTTTCTTTGGATGTTCACACCTATCTAACATTAAGGCTATGCTAGAAACTTGACAGAATTATACATAACTACAAAGAGTGTATGTAATGTTAGTCATTTATTGATACTATCATTCAAGTGATAAAGGAAGATATTAATATCCGGTGGATTGGTCTGGACACACAATATGGGGATAATGGTTTAAAAGTGAGCTGCAATACTTTTTTGGCCACATTACCCTCTGCTATGCAGTGCACAGGGTAGCAAACTGACATTGTAGAGGAGACACAGAACTTGGGTACATTCTCCCTAGTGGTCTTCAGACAGTATAAAACAGAGGTTCTCAAACTTATTTGATCACACCCCCGTTCTTTACATCTGTAGCAGTTTATGCCCCTCTTTCTGCCACACAAGTATATATACTGATTTTTTTTTTTTTTTTTAAATCAACATGTAGCTCTCACTAAGTATTTAAAATAGTAA